ACTTTTTTTCCTGTTTAGTTCCCTATGGGCCCTGGCTCTGATGGGCCCCTGGGAGCCATGGCTGGGATGGAACCACACCACATGAATGGATCACTAGGTAACACTACCCACACGCAATACAGTCATCTAACACAACACAGAAGTTAAAACAGAAACGGACATTAAAGGCTTCACACATATTGCACTTGGCTGTTGCTGGATAAAAATAGGTTTGTGTTCGTCACGGAGTACAAACATTGTTTATGTCGTTGGCAGGCTCTGGTGATATGGATGGAATGAACAAGGTAAATTGCTAAGTGTCTTTGCATTTAGAGCTTTATCCAAGATAAAGTGAAACATTTGAAAGAAAACACTCTGCGTTTCATGTTTCCAGAATTCCCCAAACAATTTAAGTGGCATTAGCAATCCTCCTGGGACCCCGAGGGATGACGGCGAGCTGAGTGGGCCTTTCCTCCACTCCTTTCAGAACGAGAACGTGAGTCCTCCCTTCTCCTCTCTGCTCAGCTAACGCCACGGCGACTGTAACAGAACTGTGATGAATCCAGAGGTAGTCGACCGCAAAGTAAAACCACAGTCACAGCATATTAGCATCGCCGGCTACGGTAGCAATGTGGGGGGGAAGCGGGCCGGCTGTTTGACCAAGGAGCAGCTGGTGTGGAAAAAGGTGTGGATGTGAACTTTAATCTTCTCCTCTTCTTTGTGCTTCCGTAGTACTCTCCAACCATGACGATGAGCGTGTGACCCTCCCCTTCAACCCGCCCGACATTATTTGCCATCATTCCGAGGATCTGAACTCACTATAGGACATGGCCAAAACACATCAGCACCGAATCAGGGACAGGCGCCATTTTGGTTCCACACTAATGCCAGAATGCTGATTGGAGAAAACTCAAAAAAAAGAAAAAAAGAAAAAAAAAAAAAAAACGGCTGGCGACTACTGCTCCTTGCTGAGAAAAAAAAAAAAAAAAATGAAGGACAATTTCTCCATTTTATCACAGCCCCAAGTGTGACGAAACCAGCTACTGAAATGCATACATGACACGTTTTATGTTCTTTGCAGAACCTCCCTCCTCCCTTGATCCCTCTCAGCCCCCCCTCAACCTCCTCAGCCCTAGAGCGAGAAGAGAGAAAAAAAAAATGGTTGAAGTTTACCTCTTGTACTTTTTAATGATTGCTTTGTGGTGCAAGACGCGCAGGAAATATCCGCTTCTGTCACTTAAAAAACACTGGAGAGTGTGCATATGCATTGTGAGCTTGGAAAGTCTTTGTCTTTTGTCATTTTACTCATCGCCATGCATACTGTGTCACGAAAGTCAGTCGACGTAGGACTCAGAATTTGCCTTTTACTCTGTGGCCACCTTTACGACTAATGTACCATTCTTCCCGACGCCCACCCTTCTATTTAAAGAGATTTTTCAAGGGGGGGGAAAAGATGTGAAAGTAATATGGCTTTTTATTGTGACGACCTCCGACGGTTCTTGCAATGTCATATTGATCCCATTTGATCGAATCCAGTCTCTTGTTGTTGACAGCTGTGCCGCTCTGCACTCTCAGCTGTTTTGATCCGAGCAGCTGTTGCGCGCTGTCGGGGAGGGGGGGAAACAAACCAGACTTCGGCATAAGAAGTGAGTGCATGAGTGCTGAGAATCTGTGTACAACATACTACCTAGTGCTGCTCTTCTCTATGTGGACACCTGCTTTAAGATGTGGTGTATATCTCTTTACCTGCCTGTGCTTAACACTCTGTGCTCATCATCGTCGTAGCCTTCTGTGTTCTTTCCAATTTGGTTGGTTTTTCCCGATGAAACGGCCGCGGGATGCGTCGCCCCGTTTTAATCTCTCATGCATATTGGTTGTTCATACTTCCCTCCCGAGTCATTGGTCGTCCCCCTTTGGCCCTGCTCCCCCCGCCTCCCCTCTCTCTCCTGCCCGCCCACATATTTTTTATATTTTGATACAAACTTTGACTACGTATATTGCCCCAGTTATTCAGAGTTAGTCAAAGCTTTCTAAACTGATTCTAGTAGGCATCATTATATACTTAGCAGCAGTCTTGTAAATGTGATGAGAATTTATTTTTGTTTTTTTTTTGGTTTCATTTTTTTTTTTCTTTTATTTTTATTTTTTCCTGTGAACATTACGCATTATACACATCTGTCCTATGTTGCCTTTATTTGCTGATATTTTTTTATTTCAAATTGAGGAAAGATTGCTTGTTAATATAATTTTACAATAACTTATCTCGCTGTGTGGCCTGTTTTTATTTTGACCGAATGTAGTTTTAATATTACATGAGAGTCATTCAAGCTGGTGAGTAAAGTCAGATGAACGCTTAAACTACACATATATGAGGAATGATGCTGTAATTCCACATTGATCCATCTGGGACTTAAAGTACACAGCAAACCAGTTTTATTTCCTCTGGCTGATATGACTCCAGCAGCAACATCTCGCACACAAAGCCGTAGCAGGCAGGTTGGAAAGGCCTCACCACACCGCTGAAGGATTCACTCATTAGTTCCTGCAGTGAAGCCAGGGGGAGCTGTAGTCCACAGCCACTACGTCAACAAGAGGAAATCCTGGAGCATGACTTCACAACAGAGGAAACACTGCAGATCAGGCTGAGAAACAGAGGCAGCGTTTCACATGTCCAAGCAGTGCTACACAGAATAATCATGCATTTAGGGTTTAGTTTGTACCTTTTCTAGAGATTTTTGGTTATCTATCTAAAAAGAAAAATACACAACTTAAGACATTTGTAGGGGCAATCCTCATCTACTACATTCTTATCAGGGAGTATGTTATATCCTCCTGCACCTGCATTCACTGCTCACTGACTGGATGACAACAGATCTATACTTGGCAGGTAGTACAGTCACAGACATCTGAACAGCAGGATAGATCCTAGAGGCTTCAGGGGGGATCACTGGTGGACACATGGGGTTTGTTTGGGTGAGGTAACCTTATAGATTCCTACCATGTGCCAAAAGCAAAACCGAATCTGCTGACCTTCAAGCCCTTGTCCTGACTGATATGAAACAGGTTTGCTAATTGGATCTATGTCGGAGTGGGCATCTAAAAATATAAAGTATTCAAAGACACTGACTTGACAACTGAATTTATAAGAATTTACTCATTTTCTACCAAGTATTCAGCTCCTTTAGTAAAAGTACTTTATTACAAGTAGAGGTCCTGCATTTAAAACACCCTACTTAAGTGAAAGTACATAAGTATTAGCAGGAAAATGTAGTTAAAGTATTAAAGTGCTGATTTGGTTCCTCTGATAAATATGTTATCATATATGAGATTGTTGGTAGTGAAGCATCAGCATGTCAGCAGCATGTTGCTGTTGGAGCTGCTGCAGGTGGAGCTGGTGTTAACTACTCTACATCCAGTTCTATATGCAGCGACAACAGATTAATCCAAGGGGTTGTTGGATTATTAATGGAAGAGGAAAGAAAAGAGGGGGGGAGAAAAAACTAATTTCTAATATTTGTTTTCAGGAGTAGATTTTTTCCTCTAAGATTTTTGGTGAGACTTTGGCTCATTTGAGCATCAGTTGAAATGAAACCACATAAGAAGGGAGGAAATGACCATTTGGACCATTTGGTGCAGCCTGTAGACATCTGAAGTGTGACTCAGACTGCACACTGCTTCTTGTAAGACGTCAGAAGCCACATTTTTAACAAAGGCTTCCATTTTAAAAGCTTCTTATATTATCTATCATGTAAAGTCTTCATTTTAAGAGTAATTTATATAAATCCAGTGGCGTAGAAATGATTCTGAAATGTAATGGAGCAGAAGTATAATGAAAATTCAAAGACCTTATAGTTGTATTTTGGTAAATGTACTCGGATCAATTGACAGCCTTTAATTAGAGGTCATGTCTTACTTTCCAGTCCACCTCAGCTAAATTTCATGGTTTGACAGAGTCGCTCCAGCGGATGTTTATGGAGCTTTATTTAGATGTTGTCTGGGTCTTGTTGAGTCAGGATCTGTGTGTTGCCACCTGCTGGATGCAGCTGTGAGAGCTGCGTCCAGCTGAAAGCTTCTGAAATAAGTAAGATGAGCTGACAAAACATTATGAATCCTGAAGGAAATCCTCGAATGAAGCTTTGGATATTAGAAAGATCTTCACACCTGCCCTCTGACACTGAGCTGCTGATCGATTCGACCGGTAACGGGTTTTTGCTGTGAGTATTTGCTTCCTTTCTGTCTTTAGTTCTATCTAGATTGTTGGACCTTAAGTCATGTAAAGTCCAGGCAAAGCAGCACTTGCAACATCTTAAGAAAGCCTCATTTTACTATGAAAACGCTCCAAATGGTGCATATTATCTTTGTGTAAAGGACAGTCTGCTCAGGATTATAATTAATCTCTTAACTTGAACCAACTCATGTCCTAACATTAAAGAAATCTAATAAAGTTGTTGTTAGTCAGCTGGTTTTGAATATTGTACCCCTGCAGCCACACCGACGTCCAACTATCAAAATGAAAAACAGCTTCCCGTGTTCTGCCCTCCGTGTCTTCACATTGCCCTCTGGTGGGCTTCTGTGGACTCTCACGTTTCAGCAGAGACCTCGACGGCCTCCACACAACATTCACCGTACGCTCCCTGAACGCAGCTAACTACTAACACATCCAGGGTTTAGTTTTTACTTTAAGACCTGAATCTGAGCTGGGCTGGGAGGGTCTGACAGCATTCTGCTTTGTCTCTTAACAAAAGGAAACAAGGCTAAGCTGCTGCTGGCTGCTCTCCACAGGATGTGGCCTGGCTGGGCAGGAGCCAAACCTATTCGCCAACTTCAGAGCCACACAGTTAATGTTATGAAAGCTGTAGCGACACAAAACTGCTTTGTTCACGTCCATAGCCATGTCGTGGACTTGTAAAAGAAACTTTTTTTGGTGCGGTTTCTTATGAGGTGTTGATCATGGGATCGTCTTCACGGCAACATGGTTTATTATTACGGTTGGTTATTTGCACAAATCAGAAAAGTCAAGGTCCGTGTTAGTACTAAAGCTGCTTTTTTTTATTTCTTGGAGCATGAAAAACTTTACAGCAGTTATTAACGGTGATACGGTGACGAGAAGAGGCTGTAAAACCAGTACAAAGTCAGTTAAACTTATAAATACACTGCTGCACATTTGAGAATCTGATTATTCTTGAGGGAAATTACAATTTAACCATTTTAACTACGGCATTTCCCAGTATCCCTTGTGCTCAGTCACCACACAACCCATGATGAGCCAAAAAAAAATAAAAAAAATCCACTTTTGATTTAATTGTTACGTAACTTTACGAATGCCAAAAATCGGTTAATGTGCAGAGATAAGACAGTTAGGTATTAACTCACATCAGGGCCTGAACGCCACGCTGCACGGCTGCCGCGTACATATGTGCCCGCCTGCAGACGATTTGCTGAAGTTGCGTAATCCGCATACCGCGCAGAGGATTTATCATTTCCAGACAAGACAGCAAACAACCGTTAGAATCTCACGTGGAAGAAGGCCGCTCGTGTGCGTCAACATTAATGCCCTCAAAACATTTTCTAGAGAGCGACGTGGTGCAACAATAAAGATTTCGGCTTTGCAATGCATCAAGCGGGAGTTGCAGGGCAGAGAAGAGTGGAAATAAAAATGTCAAAAGTGAGCCAAACATTGTTGCACAAAGAGTTCTGCTGCATCGAATTGTAGTCATTTACTCTGAGGGCAAAAATGTGGAACATTCATGAACTGAATGACCCGATTTAACTGTAGATTTCAATCCAGCCGCACTGACTTGCAGCAGAACATGCAGTATGAAAAACACTGACGACCTGCTGTAGGTCACATGTTGTGTATGAATTGAATGCCAGAGTGCGGCCACGGGACGTTACTGTAATATAATGCAAATGCTCCTTGATAAATTTCAATTAGAGCGGATTTATTCCAATACAAGACTTGCTGTTGTGAGAACTCCACGTGTAAAAATCTTAAATGCTCTGGCCGTAACTCGGAGAAGGCCTGCTTTTAAAAGGCATCTTTCATCAGATTACAGCTACCAGCGGTTTGCACTGCAATCGTCATGTAAAAAGCAGCCTCCTGCCGAATCACTTTGGAGAATTTAAAGACAAAGACGCTGCCTGTGTGGTGAATACAGGACATGGTGGCGCTGATGGCAACAGGCCCTGGAAGTGAAAACAAGGACTTTAAATGTATCTTGAGGGGGTTTTAAACAACAAAATTACAACAACTTAGCAAATAAACAACAAAAGACACTCAGAACACCTCCTGCAAACTCCTCAAACACCTCAAACCCTGAACGCACCGTCTCCCTGGCGTTTCGCTTCATCGGGCCGCAGAGGCCGACGGTTTAATCTGCAGCCGTCACTAAGAAACAACAGAGAGGCGGCTCCCAGCTCAAAGGTCTTTTACGAGAGCGCAGGAGAGTCTGATGGCAAAATTAGTGCAATTTTTCGAGGGGTTACAATGAGGCAAAAGGTAAAAGAGGGACTATACAGCTACACGTAGATGTGGTGATTGGATTTGTGTGTAATAAAAAGAGAGTATTATATCAGTTAGATATGTTGGTTACAATGCAGACGCCCTAAAGAACCCCCCGATCCTCCATATAAGGCTGGTATAGACGGCATTAAACGTGGCTCAATTCCATTTAACAAGCTTCTTATTTCATCTTCTGCAGGAAGGATCTGACCTCGGGTGGACTGTAGCCCCAAGGCCCCTCTGTTCCCTGTGGAGACAAGAGCACGTGCAGAATAAAGCACCGTTTGCATCAAATATCACTTTTCAGTCAGAGAATGACCAACACAATCCTGCAGCAACATGCCTCTGTCACGTAATCTACATTTCTGGCGTGGCCGTCATGGGCCTGGCTCCATGCCAAGAATTCCTCTGTTGTGTCTGTTTCTTTCCTCCTCACGCGATAGCGTGAGTTCACTCACGCCCACAGCGCTGCCATCACCTCCAATCACGCAAATGCATGAGAGGAGCAGTGAAAGAATTCCACCCTTCACCTAGAAACTCCTCAATTAAACACCCGTTGAGTAAATACTGAACTCCTCAATCAAACGCATGTTGAGTAAACACTGAAGATAAAAAGATCACACTCCTCACCTTGTAGACCACTTTGCCGGCCTGCAGCACGTACAGCCTCTCGGGCAGAGCTCCGTACTTGATGGAGGTGGCGTCGCTCATGTCATCCACCACCACGGGACACAGGGGTTCCTCACGGAGCAGGATCTGGGCCGCGGACAGCCGGTCCTCCAGGCTCTGGTGCTGGTTGATGTCGATGTTGTTGGTGAAGGCCCAACCATCTGAGAGAGAGAGATAAAGAGTGCGGTTTGGCAGGAGGAGCGGCGGAGCGTGGAACACATGTGGCTCTGCAGATGTGCATGAAAGCATCAAGCTGAAGCAGATCAGAGGAGGGTTTGTGGATGATCTATTGGGTCGAGGTTGCACTTTGTGACATGTTTCAAAATGATTAACCGTCAGAATTAAAAACAAGCCAAAAGAGGATCTTAAATCATCATGTTGTCATGTTCAAATCTAACTTACAGCTCCTGCATTAATTATTTTTTTAGTTGTAAATTAGATTTGCAACTTTAAAGATAAAAAACACACATCTTCACAACTAAAAGTTCACTTTAAGCCGATGTGCACCATTAAAAAAAAGAAGCATAAATAAGTAACCTGTGCGTCTCCTGACTGACCCTGAAAGCACCACGTCTCCACCAATAGACTGAAGCCTGTCCTCGGCTCACCTGGCCTGCTGCCTCCACTCACCTGTTGAATGCGCCTCGGCGATGTAGACCACCAGGAAGTCCGCGACATCGCTGAAGTCCTTGACGAGTTGCTTGAACTCCTCAAGTTTGTACATGAACGGGGGTCAGGTGCAGCTTCCGAAGCTCAGCACCAGCGGTCTGTTGCCTGCAGAGACGAAAAGGCGCAAAAATAAAAAAAAAAATAAAATAAAATTAGCCGCAAAAACCCACCAAAGCAGCTCGATCTCCAAACCTGGACGCACCTTTGACGAACTTGCTGATGCTCGACTTCTCTCCCTTCATGGTGAACACAGGTGAGTCCGGAGCAGGGTGGCCTTTGAACGCCTCCTGACCCAGAGACAGCCACATGTGGTGGCAGGCCGATTTCACGAAGGTGGAGGACATCATGGTGAGACCCCAGTCCTCGTACTTAAATTTGGGATTCTGGGTCATGGTGGTCTTTTCACCCATTTTGAGGATCATCTTCTTGGCGAGGCTCGGCGAGATGAAGTGCAGGATGCTGAGGCCCACGTTGACCGTCATCAGGAAGCAGAACATGTAAGCCGTGGACACGTACAGCATCACCTTCTGCACGAACATGTTGGCGTCCTTGGTGGAGCTGCAGCCCCAGATTGCACCGTGTCGGAGGCGCAGCTGTTTAAACGCTGCTCCGGTCCTCCGGTTACACCCACCCCGCTCACTGTTTGTTAACCGACGCGTTCAGGGCCGCGCTCTGAGCTCGTACTTTACAGTTTCCAAGTTGTAAACGCTTTAAGAACAAGTGTAGCGTGTTTGATACAGGAGTTTTTGACACCTTTGCATCATCAGAGGGATTTTTTTTGTCATGAAAAACCTGTTTTGTACAATCAGACACATGTACTGCACAGATAATCCATCGCAAATCATTATTCATGCGGCAAAAATGCCAGATGTAGCAAAAATGATCAACAAAAAAGTTGACTATCCTTAATAAATGCAGATTGATAATATCATATATCATATGTAAAGGTAAAAAAAAAAACATCCATATCGATACATACATTTTTGACACCTCTACATCATCAGTGTGATTTATTTTTGTCATGAAAAACCTGTTTTGTACAATCAGACACATGCAGTGCACAGATAATCCACCGTAAATCATCATTCATGCGCCAAAAATGCCAGATGTAGCAAAAATAATCCAAAAAAAGTTGACTATCATTAATAAATACACATAATATTGCATATGTAAAGGTGAAAAGCTCATCCATATTTGATATAGAAGTTTTTGACACCTCTACATCATCAGTGTGATTTATTTTTGTCATGAAAAACCTGTTTTGTACAATCAGACACATGCAGTGCACAGATAATCCACCGTAAATCATCATACATGTGCCAAAAATGCCAGATTTAGAAAAAAAAAAAACGTCCAAATTAAACCTCATATATGCAAATTTATTGATTTATTTATTTTGTCAGCAGGTTCAATGAATACTACAGATTCATAAAATTGTAATTTTCTGGCAAATATTTCCTGGTTCAGGCTTCACAGCGTTCAATATATAGGATGGGAATAGTTTATTTATCCTTGAGGGAAGATTCAGTTGTTAGAGCAGAACGAGTAAAGTTACCACCACCATGAAAACAGACAAATAAGTAAACAAATAAACATTAAGAAAAAAATATAAAATATTAAATGCACAAAGCATAATAAGATATGTCTTTATTTATCTCACAGTGGAGAAATTCAGCAGTGTCAGCAGCAGTACGAAAAATAAAAATGTACATATGAAAAGAATAGTACAACACAGAGTATAACACTCGAAGTAAAAATGTCCTGTGTGATAAACTCTAAATTAAAAATTGAATTAAATTTAAAAATGTACTATGTGAGAATTAATTTGATTGTCCCTTTTCCTGTTTCAAACCAGGAATTGATGATAAAGTTCTCCTCTTACAGTAAAAAAAAAAAAACCCAAAACAAAAATTGAATCCAATTTCTAAAGTTTAGTTGCTGTTCTTTTTAACGAGTCAGTCTTTATACGATATGATAAGCCTTTATTAATCCCACAGTGGGGACATTTGTAGCAAAGGAGACAGAAAAATGCAAATAAACAAAAATATAGCAAAGTAAATACAGTATATTGTCTGTACTATAGTAAAGTAGAATAAACTACTGCTTCACATTGTCCAGATGTCTCTGTATGTAGAAAGAACAATATTGCATATAAAAATACTCTTGCACAGATTCTTTAATGAGTAGAAATGCTAATTAAGAAGTATTAGTATTGTACAGATTTATCTGTAAGTAGAAAAATACAGATTTTTTTATGCATTTTATTGTCTTCTCTTTCACTGACTTGTAGTTTTAAAGCTTCACAAGCACATTTTAGAGGTGCTATCGAAATAAAGTTCACTGTTGTTCTAATTTGATTACATTAAACTATGTCGTCATCACACAGGGCAAAAGACCGCTGAGTTCATTTTAGTGTCAAACCAAAAGTGCAAAGTCAGCAGTAAAGTGCATTATATACACTATAGGTAGAAGTATGAACAGAACGAACAGAACGAACAGAACGAACAGGACACAACGTACAGAAATATGTTTGTAGATAATAAAGAAGTTTAAATGTACATGTACAGTCAGGAGTAAACAGCAGTATGTTACACAGGTTATTATCATTTTTATTATTATTATCTTACGAGGGCCTGTTCCATAAAGCGCACGAAGAAAAGTGAGGATTAAAGTCCAACACCTGATAAATCGGAAACCAGTTCAATTAAGGTCAGTCTGATTCGACACAGTTTCAAGTAGGTGAGGTAACTGCGTCTTCTGAAATAGATTTTTCTGTAAAGTTCACTCTTTCTTACTGGTACTGGGTAATAAAATTAAATAATATAAGAGCTGGCGATAAAATCTTGGCTTTCCCTTCAGGTCAATGTTTCAGGAACTCTGATTAACTGACAGTTAACCTGCTCTGGACCTGGTTAGTTAGAGCAGCAGAGCTTGAACTTTGCTTAATTTACTTTATAGAGCCAAAGTAAGTCAGACTAACTGAAATAAGTCTGACTTATTTGCTAAATTTGTTTTATGAAACAGTCTCCTGGACCTCATGGGAAAGCTTTAATTGCTCTAAGAAGAAGACCCACATACATGATTATATAATAATGTTTAGGTTTAAGCTACATGAACTAAGTTTAATTTAAGTTAAGTTAAGTTAGGTTAAGTTAAGTTCAGTTAAGTTTAAGTTTAAGTTTAAGTTATTCCAGCAAAGTGATATTAGCTACATAAATAGTTGACAATGCAACTGAAAAAAATCGGCCATACTGACCAGAAATGTATTATCTAAACCCTATACATCGGTCCTCTATTTTTCTGACAGGAAACCAGGTTTCAACATGTATTTATACATTAAAATCCAATGATGGATGCGATTTTTTTGGCATATATTTATTTTTAAAGAATTATTTAAAAGTCAATAAATATGAACCTGAACTAGTCACATACACACTTTATGCTTTGTCAATGTAATCACATGAAACAACAGATACGACTCTGATGAAGTTATTCTTATTAATAAGAACACTCATAATAAGAATATGAAAACACAAAAAGTAAAGTAGCTGCTGAATCTAGAAAATATGTTATTGATGTTGTGCTGAAACACTTCAGTGGTGATGGCAGGAACAACATGCGTGCTGGGATCTTTATTACACATGAATCATGCCTAATTTAACATATGATCCTTGATGATAAAGATACAGAGAAATAGAAATGCATGACAAATATAGCATAATGTCAATATGTTACAGACCAGAGGAGCTTAGGTTTCCTGTAGTCCACATTTTAACTCAGTTGCTACTTGTATGCAGTCAGTCAGTAATTCCTTCCAGCCTGTTCTTCTGGTTATTTCTGGCAGCTGTGTGACCTTCGTGCCCTGCCCTAAAGCAGACGCTGATTCATTGTTTATTTAACTCTAAATGAGATGAGAATTTACAAAATGATCATCATGCTGTATTGAAAACGTCTTGAAATTCGTGACTGGGACCAAAAACTCAGCAGGAAGATGTTTACTGAGGTAACAAATTACATGAAAAGTAATTTATTACCTCAGTACCTTCATAAATTTCTATACAATTGGACTTTTTTTTTGTTTGGAGAGGAGTCGCCCCCTACTGGTTGTTTCAGGTATTGGCTTTACTTTTCAGACCTGGAGGCGAAACCCATCTTTTATAAACAACTTAAGCATTAAAGCAGGCAGGAAGGGATTTTTGTACTCCTAAATATGTAACTTTGATTTGCAGAGATGAGTTTTAGGGGTTAAATCAGTTACCGGAGAAGACTCAGGTCCCATTTTTATAGTGTAGAAAAGAAAAAAGAGTGAATTTGGTCATTTAATATGCAATGGATGCGAAAAATGATGTGATCTTACAGCTGTTTTAAATGTACCTCCTTGATTTTTCTTGCCAGCAGATAACTTAATCTTTAATATTTTCATACAACAGACTTCTCATAGTAGGAGAACCATGGGTGTTTCTTGCAACACTAAAGATGACTCAGCGATATTCAACTGTTCAAATAAACAACAACAACATGACAGCCACACTGCACAGCAGAACTCTTCACACTGATTTTTTTAATTGTAGGCAAAGTGCAGATAAAACCAACCTTGTCCGGCCATGTCAGTGCTCACAGTGCCGGGAGCCTGGAAGTCCCCTAAGTGGAATGCAGACATGAAAATAATGACACGTTTGTGCTTCATTATGACAAGCCAAAGTGTAACTACAATAATTTTAGTGTCTTAGTTGTGTTTTTCTGGCTTGTTGAAGACAAAGCCCTTTGGTTCCAAAAGCCACAAAAGCCCACTCTGTCTGCTTTGGCCAGTGATAAAATAGTTAAATGCAAATTTGAATATGTGCACTCTAAAGCACAGTATCAGCTGAAATGATAAGAAGTTCAAGGCGGTTGCAGGCCACAGTATCTGGGGGCCCTGTGGAGGAGAGGGAGAATTTAGCTGGGCTAAAACTGTACGGCCTTCGTTATTTCTGGAATTACCCAAAACTGATCGATACACAGCAGACCTGGTGTCTCTGGGGGAAAATATTGTTCAATACTGCAGCTAATGATTGTTTTCATTTGGAATAATCTGATGAATAAACACTTTTGGTTTATCTGCTAATCTTTGATCAGTGAACATGCCTGTTACAGTGTTTTAAAGCCCACGGTGGCATTTTCAATGTTTATTCAGTCAAAAGTTGATCATAAAGACAGAGAAAAGCTGCAACTCTTCACATTTGTAAAGCTGGACCTGTAAGTACTTTGAAATTTTTTTGCTTAATGAGTGAGTTGGATTAACTGTTTATCATCAAAATTGTGTCTCCCAAGTCGCATCTGGTTGTCCTCCAGGATTTCTCTACACTATACTGCATTCATTTTACTCCATCTCCCTCATAAACCTTCCAGGACCTGCTGCCAAAAAGCATTCCCACATGATGATGATGATGATGATGATGATGATGATGATGATGATGCCACCACCATGCTTCATTATGGGGATGGTGTGTTTCTGATGCGTCTACTCTGATGACCAAAAAGCTTAATTTTGGTCTCATCAGGCCAAAGGACTTTCTTCCAGTTGACCTCAGGGTCTCCCTCATGACTTCTGGTGAACTCTAGTTTAATTTTTTAACAGTGGCTTTCTCTTTGCCACTTTTCCATAAAACTTTGACTGGTGAAGAACAGACTGAATGCAGGCTCTTATATCTCAACTGCTGAAGCTCGCAACTCCTTCAGAGGAGTCACAGGTGTCTTGGTGGCCTCCATTACGAGGACTTTCCTGCATGTGGATTCAGTTTGTATAGATGGTCTCCTCTATGCAGATTTACACATGTGCTGTTCCTTCTATTTTTCAGTGATGGATTTAACTGTACTGAAAGAATGCTCTGTGACTTGGAAACTTTCTTGCATCCATCCCCTGACTTGTACTTGTCACTAACCTTTACACAGAGTTGCTCTGAGCGTTCTTTTGTCTTCATGGTGTAGTTATATCCAGGAGTACTGACTCACCAGTGACTGGACCGTCCAGATACAGGAGTCTTTAGACAACAGTCAGTTGAGACACATTCACTGCACTCAGATGATCTTCATTTCACTATTTTGTGATTTCTTGCATCAATCATATGAACAGTGTTTCCATACTGTCATTTATCTTTATATCTAATGCATCTATTTGTACATTGCTGTTTAGTTAGCACCACTCATCATTCGGTTAATACTGTATTATACTGTATATGCAATATATGTATACATCTTGTATTGTGCATAGTTTCTATACTTTAGCTCATTCATACGGCCCTTAAAGCTTCTCCACTTGGACATTTCACATTACGCTAGACTTTTTCTGCCTCCTTTGCTTTTCTGGTTTGATGCTAAACTGCATTTTGTTGTCTTTGCACTTGTACTCTGTGCACTGACAATAAATCCATCAATCAAACTGTCTATGTAACCTGCAGAAAACTATAAGAGAACTGAAAGCTCACAGCACAGTCACAGTCTGTCTGATTATTTAAAGCTGAAGATGTTGATTATACCTCAACAGAATCCTGCTGCATCCAACAGTGTGTCTTGGACAAAGGGGCTTATTTCTAGCAAGCTATTTATCAGATTTCCAACAGGCCATAAATGCACCACAAGAACCAGTTGATCCAGTTCTTTCCCCCCAGTCGCGCATTTCCGCGTTTTTCCAGCTGAGATCTCCGATTTTGGCACCACAAACAAACAGAAAAGTGCGCCCTTCCTCACCATGCTGTTTCTAAAACCTCCCTGGACATGTTTGCTCACCGCTGTGCTTTTATTTGAACAACAATTCAAACGTGTTCTGTCGCTGTGTGTTGGTCAACTTTGTCCCCGTTGAGGAGTTTCTCCTGCGCGTAAAAGCCGCTAGATGGCGCTGCAGAATTGCAAAGAAAAATACAGCTAAGAAAAAAAACTCACGCAACACCGGAAGATCATCAATGATGAGAAGATTTATGCGGTAGTTAACCTGTTTTTACCTCCAAAGGACGTCCAATATATTGATTTGGTACCAAGGTATTAGATCCTGTTTAACCCCTTTGACGATTGTAAACATTTGTTTCTCCTCTTTGTGGACTTTTTAAACAGTCTATCAAACGTAAGGAACCAAGATCCCAGGTGTAAATTCAAATTTAGAATAACTCAAGTGAAAATGTTGTTAGAACAATGAAGGCTGCTCAAAAAGAAAACGTTAAACTCACTAAATTTGGATTCGTTCTTATAAGCTGTTTCCTTTTCATCCAGTTTTAGGAGGGATGCATGCAAACATATCTTTGTGTGTGTAATTCAAGGCAGTTCTCTCTGGAAAAACAGTGTGAAATCAAAAATTGGACATCTGACACATGCTACTTTAACTAAAATCACAACATACGTACATAAAACCGTGATGCGCACGCTGTCACAGTTGTGCGCATTTTCCCCTGAAGCTGTGGCGCATTAAACGCCGGATTAAAGCGTTGTTATACTAAATGGCACTTCTGTGACACAGCACTCTGTGATAAAACTCTGCAGACACGCTGTGCCGACGTGCTGAGAGACTGCGAATGACCTGTTTTCCATCCATTTCTGAACGAGCATGGCACCACATTGGGTGCGTTCTTCATGGCACAAAGGATAAATTACGCGCATGAATAATGTTGCAAAACTTCCCCCTCCAATCTCAGAACCTCCACCACAGCGTCCTGATCCACATCTTATCCTCCCACAGAAACACGGACGCAGCCTTCATTGGTGCTCCTGAATCCTGCAGATCAGTGGAGCTATTGGGTGTCAATCTCACAAAAGGAGAGAGAGGACGGAGGGGGACGCACGGGGATGCTGATCCTCACTGAGAGGATGCTATCGATCCGGCTCGCAATTGCGCTCTTCTCCAGTTTGATGAACATGCAGATGTGCGTCATCACGCGTTTTCTGCTCCTTATGAGCTAATTAAACAAGGTGGGTGTCACCAAATCCCCGAAGTTTAAGCGGATTGTCCAACAGTGTGGATGCATGTTTGCGCACTTAGGAGTTAAACTCTATTCCTTTTTTTTGGTACTTTTCAGGTAATGTGAGCAGCCCAAGTCATCAATGCAGAACTCCTCAGCGCTGTTCGGGATGGTGAGCCACTGTCAGACCCCAACTTTCGCGGACTTCACGGGCCTGGCGTTCTCCGTGTACGGCAGCAAGGCGGACATCTGTGCGCGGCGAGCCGGCAACGCTGGCTTCGGATCTCCGATTTGCAGGAGCCCCCACGACGCACCGACTCACATGAACTGCGCCAGCCCGAAACGAGTCACCGCATCCGAGGAAAAGGCGCATCTGGCAGCCAAAACTCCGCGCTTGTGCTTCTCTCTTCCACCGGTGCAAGGTAGGCTCCATGCGCTCCAACTGATGCTACAGAGTTGAGTGATCTCTTAAATTGAAATAGCATTTATTTAAGCAGTTTCATTGCTTTTTTTTTCGAGAGCAAAATGACAAATTGAGTGAAATAGCAGCAGTGTCAATCAGTGCTAGTGTGACTAATTGGCACTTTTAGGTTATATGATGCTGATTAAGAGCCCTCATCTAAAATACAGCTGCCTCCATATGGCTCCTCTTGAGCATCCTTTGATGCAGATGTGCTGTGAGTTTGTGTTGAGAGCCCTGTTTGCAGTTGTGGATTAGGAGTGTTAATTAAACGCAGAGCTGCCTTTTTGGATCAGTGGCCAATTCATAAATAACAGCAGAATCAAAGTCTCTGGATGTCTGTGGCACAACAAGGCCATGTGAAGGGATGTAGAGTGAATGGAAAAGCTGCCAAGAGAAGTGGCTCATTTATCTAAATATGGAAAACTTGGCACTTGAGTTTTTTTTTTAATATTCAAAGAAAAACTGAAATTTAAAAATATTTTTGCAGTTTTATTTTAATTCTAAAGTGATTAAAGCTCAATTTGCCAAAAACTTGAGATTCGAATTGGCTTTTTGTTTTATAAAAAGAAGAAAAAGAAAGAAAAGTTTGACCTTGGCTCTTCAATGAAAGCCAACTCTTTAAAACAACAATTACATAGATGAAATGAACACTGTCACACAGACAGCATCCAGAGTGGAAACTGGGCTTTCAGTGTAGTGTGTGTGCGGAAAGCTGCTCCATCCTGTTTAGACCCGGCGTTGTTGTGAGAGGGTGGAGGGTAATTGCAGCCCCATCCCTAAATTATGATTAGACCGAACAGACTTTTATATTAGCAATCATCCTTGCAGCAAGAAGAGGATCAACGGATTTGATTATTGTTTCTTCTCTACAAACACAAACCATATGTCTGCCGAAATGCGTCTCAGCATTTATGAGTTCTCTTGGAGTGCCCTCAGCCCTCCATCCCCAGCATCTCCAGAATGAATCGTCTCATTGTCTCCTGCGCCGCTTTTGAACTCGCTTCCCGTAAATTGTGGCAATGCAAGATGTGTTTTTGTGGATTATGTTGTGCAGATTAACGTCCAAGCAGCCGCGTACATTTGTTTTGTTCTGACTCTGTGGAGCAAGTTGAGTGATGTTTTAATAATTTCGCTGTCTTGTGGGGTTGTGAATCAAAACAGTTTTCAATCTTGTCTGAAGCAGAAAAAAAACAACAATTTTTCTTCGAGCACGTGATTTGGAAGTAATTCTCACATTAAGTTGCTTTAACGAATCCAAAGTTTCATTCAGTTTAAAGCGTCATCTCCAGCCCTGCAGGAACATGTGCTCTCTTCCAGACGTTTTTATATCATTTTATGGTGAGCACAGAGTAGGAAAGTGATCTCAGTACTCATCAGTCTTTTGTATCATGCCTCATTTGAGCCTGATCGTATTACATGCTCCCATTTGGGGACAGAGCTGGAGTTTAAGCTGCATTCCCCACCGTTGCTTTAGATTTATACCGAAAGGAATCTCTGAACAAACACAGGCTGTAATATTTATCCTGACGGAGACAGCGGAGGAAGAACTTACCTCAGACGGGAGATTTCTGACCTTTAACATGCACCCTGTGATTGCAACAAAAAAAAAACTATTACTCAGTGATAAAAAATGATTCAGATGTAGGTGGTGATGTTTCATCTAATCCTCGGAGGAAAGCTGGAAAGACGTCCTGTGAGACATTTGCATTCTGTACTGCTTTGCTGGTTTTCTAATTAGCTCCAAAATCCGTGCTGCGTGGGTAAATTATGTCAGACTGTGTGTGTGAGTATAAAGACTTAAATTCATCCTTTATCCTGAATGCAAAAATAATTCTCAGCGTTTTCTGTGCAGCTTTCCTGTTTCTGTGCCTTTTTGTATTTTAAAAAAAACTACTTCCAGCTCAAATTGAAGGAACACTGTTGTATATTTTTGACACAAATCTCTGCCTGATGTCACAACCGGTGTTGAAACCTTCACTACTTTGCTCGTGGAACAGCGGCTCGTCATCTCATATCGCTGCACGTCCACAGTGCTATAAATATTAGATGGTGCAACATTAGATTCTGTTTTTAAAAGCTGTCCTTTGTCCCGAATGCAAAAATAGCTCGAAACTGTTTTCTGTGCAGTTTTTTTCATATATGCATTTTTGCCTTTATTTTAGAGCAGTGGAGATAGACAGGAATGGTGAGAGACCTGCAGCAAAGGGTCGTGAGCGGGAGTCGAACCCACGACCGCTGCATTTTGGAGCTACAGCCCCTGTTCATGGGTCGCCTGCTCAGCTAGCTATAGGGACGCCCCACATTTGCATTTTTAAAAACTGCCCCCCCGCCCCCCCAGCATGAATTCAAGGAAAACTTTCATAAATTTTTTACGCACAAATCCCCGCCTGATGTCACACCCGGCGTGGAAACCTTCGCTCATCATCCCGACACTGCAGGTCCACAGTGCTATAAATATTAGCGGCCATCAGCAAAGAAAATATTTGGCTTGCAAAGGAAAACACTTGACCCGTCCTGAAAACAGAATATCAGGTTTGAATGAAGTGTGTACTCTAGCATCATTTGATACCTTACTAAGGTTTCTCCTGGCCAGACGCGATGCTGCTGCTGAGTCTGTGAGCTTGTTTGAGGGAAAAATGTTTGAGTTAGAGGAGCGAGTGGGCTTCGGTCCCACCCGGCTCTCCTCTCACATAAATGCAGAGGTCTGTCTGTTGATTCAGCCTCTAAAGAGATGAGTAATGGACTCTTAGTATTTGATCATTGTTGGAGCTGGGTTCTGTCATCTCTTGCCAACGTACACATCATCGTGTGACACGTTTTCCTCCTAGATGCCGTTTTCATCCACCTGTGTGCAAACATCCATACATGCTGAACACACACATGCCACACTCTCACACTTTTTTTTTTTTTCTTTTTGCAGCGAAGTGGCACTGGCACAGACGTCGAATTCCCCCAAACTGACTTAGTTTCCTGTGTTTTCCCCTTGCAGGCCTTGTAGACGTCAGACCGCGGGGCGATAATCTGACTGTTATGAGAAACAAGCGAGCGTTGCAGCGCCGCTTTGAGCCGCCGCAGTGTCAAACGTTTAATGACAGCTTCCCAGTAGCTCGTGAATAGTTTTGGTTGCGAGCGCACAGTTTGTGAGAAAGACATTAAGTGCTTTCGGTAAAGTCAGCTTCTCCGATCAAACTATGCGGTTTATGTCTGATCCCCTTATAGAGAGAGAAGAGTGGACAGTTGGCATTAATTTAGTCAGCGAGAGAGCAGAAGGTACTTTAGTGGCCCAGTTTTCTTTTTTTTTTCCTGCATTAAAATCTGATATATAAGAATAATTAGATTTTCCAAATCATCTCATTCATCATCAAAGTCATCAAAAATGCACTGCTCAACCAAATCTAAAATATTCCTTTGCTCTCTACGGGTATTTGTTGACTTTCATCTGAGTAAATCATTAGATTTGCGTCACATAAAATGTTTATGTAACTCTAATTCTGGGAAAATGTTTGCTTCAGCTGTTTCAAGGGGTTTTAGATTTCCTGCTAACTCCAGGCTTATAATTGCGTTAAGTTTGGCTTTGATGACACCAGATATTATTTATTTATCTTGGATTTCAGTATTTTTATTTTCGGTTTTGCGGGTTTACCCAGTTGTCGTTTCTGACAAACCGTTATGCTGAAGGGTGTGAAAATAATCAAATCAGAGATTAAAGAGTTGAAGATGTGGTTAAACGGCTCGTTAACTTGATGTGAAAGATCCGAGAGGAGAGGCGTCTCTGGTGGAGGCCGGATCACCAGAGGAGGGGGAAATGAGTGAGCAGGTGATGCAGCGCAAATAAATGAATGAGTCGACTGTTTAAATTAGAGCCACGTAGTTAAACAGATTACGGTGTTAATCCTTGTTTTGATCTTCGATATGAGGCTCTGTGGAGTAAATGAGAGCACAAAGTCTCTTGGAGAGACTTTTGAATCAGTAATTCACTTTCGTTGTCTGCTTTGGCCATCTGACACTGAAATTAAATTAAATGAAAAGACTCCTACGTCTTTATAGGGAAGAAGCTAGAAGAAGTTAGCAGCCTATAAAGTTAAATAGTTCAATAATAAAAATAATAAACAGGACTAATTCTTTAATATTTCACAACATCTGCACTATTATTTTAGCTTTTGGAACAATTTCGGTGTCATTGCTTCACATTTTTCGTACATTAAGTTTGTGTATCTTGCTGTTTTTTAAAAATGTGACCATGTGAGATACATGATGCTGCAATTATGTGTGAATGGAGCATGAAACTTGATATTAACATTACTTTTCATATAGTGCGTCCCCCATTTTTAGAAAAAAAACTAAATAAAATATGTTATCTTGATTCTAGGAAAGCTAAAAAAAAATCAGTTTTGGCTGAGCGTCACTTTGTCCCTAATCATTATTTCCTTATTCCAAAACAAATTCCCCCGGCTGGATATTCAAGCAAGACACTTAATCCCTGGCACCTCTGCTCGTCACTTCTTCTCCGTTGAAAAGTGAATTTGTCAACTTGAGTCGTGAAATATAAGTGTGTTCTGTGCGGTTGAAGTTTGACAGAATAACTGAGGGTCTCTCCATCACTGTTGGTCAGTTTGCCAAGACGTGGTGGCAATGAGACAAACTTATAGCAGATTTGTTGCGTTCTGCTGCTGCTCCAGGAAGAGATTTGACCTTTTATTGAACCTCAGCTTCACTCAGTTCCACCGCTGAGGTTGACCGAAACTATTTTCGACCAGAAGATTATATTTTTCTGTATCGCCTCTTTTTTGCACCCAGCTGCACTTTATTTGGAACGCGTCAACAAGAACCGACAGCCAGACATCCGCTCTTCCTGCGTTTCGTGATCCTAAATCACGCCGAAGCGTACATGCGGGCCTGTTTATATCAAACTAGTACAGTGATAGTAACATTCTTCTCATGGGTTTTCTCACTAGTCAG